AAACATTAGCATAAATGTTACCATTATCTAGAGAGAGCGCCAAACGTGAGAGGGGTTGAAAAGTGCGGGCGAAGCGCTCAGATAAATTAAAACATAGCAAGGCGTCGACCCGATTTTCACACATTCGTGAATGTGTACAGAAGTTTTAGATATTGAGCTAGTCTAAAATTGTAATCGGAAACCTCAGGATGTTGAAAATTTTGAGCAAAAGGCTGACTTCATGTGGGCTCCAGAAATGTCTCATTGGTTTACTGCAAAATCTGAACGGTATTATGTTCGAATGTGTCCCGGAAATTCCGAAAAAATGTAGAGAGTTAGGAACGTGCCCTGATTGTAGTGAAGCACGAGTCGGTGGTTATACGCGATAGGTGTGTACATTACTCGCGTCCCGAAAAACTATATCTTTAAGCAAACACCTTCTCCGTCCACAAAATAAGCAGGCAGTTACGGGCGTATTCTTGGCTGATTGTTTGCTTGTAAGCTATCAGATGATTGCATCATATGATTTAATTATTCTCGCATGTGTGAGTTTACATACATATATGGTGAACTGTACTGCCAAAATCCCGTGATTTTTCCATCACTTTTGCTGTAACAACTTCACAGGTTGTCGGCTGTACATATTTAAGGGTTGCCAGTTCGATACTGACCGCACGCGAATTAATAGCAATAATAGGGGATTTGAGTAAATTTATTCTAGTAAGACATAATTTACCCAGGTAAATGAAACAATCAGAGTTGGCATTTCCTGACAAAAATTAGGAAAGTTCATGTGCCCTTTTCGACACTACAACAACTGGGGTGTTAAGGCCTATATTTTATTTTGTTTGAGCAGTCGCAGGTTTCTATATGAAACCTCGAGACCTCTTAAGACTCAAAAAGAGTTCTGATGTTAAGTTCTGCGCACAATTCGGTCGTGAGTCCAATTTTAGAGGTAATAAAAATAGACTGCATATATGATCCGCACAGTTAGATCGAAGCTTGACTAATGGCGTATTTCATACCCTGCTGGCATTCTCCACAGCTTGTCACCAACTTAAGAAGTTGCAATAACGTGGATATGACATGACATTCAAACTGGTCGCTTTATTGGGCCACGTCATCCTAAAAAGGTGGGGAGGCTTCTTCCTCGTTGTTTGTTTTCATCTTTATGGCTTCGATTTTTCAGCCAAGAGTGAATGCATGTGGCGGATAATTCAAGGACAACTGTTGTACTTGAGAGATGTCGCGCCAGCATTTCGATCGCCCTTCATCCCAGTTCTTCGAATAATTGTGCACAGAAAACTAAGTTGTTGTCTCAGCTAGCAGTGGCAACTAGCGAAGCCAAGGCGAGTGTTACTTGTGTCGAGTCATGAGAGAGAGGGTGGTGGCAACTGTTTTATATGATTGTCGAGCAAGTTGAAGTAGGATTCAGTTGGTGTGTTGCATTATCCAAAGAGGTGTCGCGTATATTGACCGATGCTGCGTCGGCCTGGGGTGGCGTTTTCAAGTGGCCCTTGGACATATACAACTATCCGGACGCGCGAGTAGAAGTCGACCAAGTGTCTGCAGGACA